GCGCAAACACAGAAACATACAAATTAAAAATTTTTTCTTAATAAACTTTCTGTGGATGTCTTTCTTGTTATTAATTTGTTTTWTGATATATCTGCCTATACAGCTGACCTTGAAAAGGATGTCTACCTTAAAAAAGACATTTCCAATTAGTATGTGAGTATTCCTTTTCTACTTCATAAAACATTGTTTCGAATGTCAGGTGTTTTGGAGAAATGACAAGGCGTTTTCTAATAATATCAAAATTCATATTTTAACAACACATAGTCAGGCAAATTTGAAGAATTTGAAGTAATCTTCATCATTTATTGACTATTGATAAACACTACATCCCCGATATTATACCTAGCGGTTTACATTTCCTAAAACATAAGTCGTTCCCTCTTTATATCTGAATATCGCGTTCTTTAGACTTACGGTTTAGCTGAAAGAGAAAAAATCGATTGTCATTATCAATAAAATGAACTGCAAATTTTATTATTGCTAGTTATTTTAATAACAATTAAAATAACAATAAATATTGGCGTATAACTTGAGYGCTAGATCGGAGGAGACATTGAGACAAGGGAAAGAAGGAGAGAAAGCTACACCCTCGTACTTTTCCGTTATTCCCCTRTSTCCTTCWCAAAATGTAAAAAAATATGRTTCAAGGTTAGAACAGAAAAGAGGAAAATGAATTTCGTCTACASTTTATAGTGCGATAGCATTCAAGGACTTACGCAATTTGAAGAAGTCTAGTATAAGTCTATCGTCATCACATCCAGACCAATACACGAGATATCTGTTTTCACCAGGCCAGCCACCGTTTGGATGRACACATGCGTTGTTCTTCGTATTYTGAAGACTTTTTGACGAAAGCCTTTGAAAAACAAAATTCTTGTCATGATAGAAGATTGGAATACAAATAATGTCCCTCTCATTTTGCTACTGATTAACCCAACTTAAAATTCCTTGAAATAGGTAGTGTTTTGTAAAATYACTATTATATAATCAAAAAGAAAATAGAAAACAATGGAAATTAGCTTAACTTAGCAGCACAGAACACACTTTTTTGCATTGTTCTAGCTTCCCAAAGGAAATTAACAACAATGCAACTGCATTTGTTTGCAAAGAGATTGTCCATTCCGAAATTTAAAAAGGAACTGGTGACTATTCAAAACCTCGATACCCTTTGAAGCAATCAAATAGTGGATACATTGTCAAGAAGATGTACTAAAATTTGTATAGTTCCTTGGTTTTGGATTAATGTTTTAGAATATCTACAGAGTGGCAAGCGCTAAAAAATCTAAAAAAATAAATAAGAAACAATGTATGGAGCTTTTGTGCAGCGTCCTCAAATACCATACATTTTTTTATTTTTACAAATTTGAAAAATTCCTACTCATTGAGTATTCAACTAAATAGGATTAAACTCGACAAGAACACTAATTGTAGTATGGTCTTTCATACGGTTAGGTTCAGTTTTCGATAAGTGGACTATTTTCATACTCKTTCTCAGTCACCTTTTTCAGAACCAATTGGGACAATTATATGAACACTGCACTAGGCCTTGATTTCCAGACATCCCAACTGGGTCCTTCGCTAACACTATTCTCCCTAAACTCCGTCTGGCGGACATCCCCTCCAAATGTGT